GTATATGCGTGAACCGGTCTCCACTGAGATACTATAGCTCATATATATGTGTATACATATACATATATGTAAATATAATACTTGGACTTGATTCATTTCAGACTTACAAGCTATAGATACCCAGCTGATCTGATGTCCGTGTCTTTCGTACAGCCCTCAAGCACACCCACTCACCCATCTAAAACAAAAGCTTACAAATGTGCTGCCAGTGTGTCTGCCAATTACTAACCGAATATAGTATAGCCGGAGCAATCGAGAGGATACACGCAGGCAAAAATTGTGGAATTTCAGCTAGGGTGTAGAGTTCACAAAATTTGATGTTGCTGCTGCTGAAGTTCCCTTCTTCCTTTTCCAAGCCAATGGTTAATTGCCCAGTCAACTGGCAGCAAACATCTACGGCAGAAAGAGAGAGAGCGAGACAGTTCGGCTAGAGCTGGGCTCTGGGTTGTGGGCTCTGGGCTCTGGGCTCTGGCCCTCAGTGATGACGGCCATCCACCGCAGTCGCGGCCAAATCCTCATTGAAAATGTCGTCATAGCCCATCGTCATCTTTATCCGCAGTCTGGGCGCATCGCATTGTTATATATAAATGATTGCTCCGTTGTTCATTATTGCGTTCAAAGAAAACAATAATGAAACAGGGCATTGTTCGCTTCGGGCATGCCCATCCATGCCCATCTATATATATACACACATTTACATAAATACATAAATAAATAAATATATACACATATATATATGTATAAATATATAAAAAAAAAGTATATATATATATATATATTTATTATATTATAAGCCCTACAAGTCAGTGCTTAAATTTAAGATAGTTTATATATATATATATATATATATATATATATATATGTGTATATGTATACATGAAATATATACATGATTTTTTCCAGGGATGGACAGCAATAAATGGGAATACCCACTGCTAATTTAACTTTATCAACAGAGTTACGCCCTCTTCGACATAGGCATCGACAGAGGCATTAGTATTAGCATTCGCGTTTAAAGAACAGAAATTCGTGCGGCTCACCAGAAAACACGCACGCGTGCACATACACACACACACCCTTACAGCTGAGTGATAGGATGGGGTGGGGTGGGATTGGTCGGGGTGGGTAGGGCTGGCCGGCTGTCGGCAGTCGGCACTAAACACCTCTTTAGTGCTGAACATTGAGCCCTTACGCTGCCATAATATACACGCACACATATATGTAGGTTTATGTGTATATATGTATGTTTTTTTTTACATATATATGTATGTATGTATATAAAAAGAGTCTGGCCTGTGTTTGGAATGGGTATCCCTTTGATTGTTTTTTGGGATTTTCATTATTTCATTTCAACGATTTTGAATTCAGAAAAATTACCGTAACAGTTGTTATACAATAATTTAATTTCTTTCTATTTTTTTTTTAGAAGCCCGATTTATTCATATGAATGAATCAGCCGAACTCTATAGCATTATCGATTTCGTCTATTGAACACTCCCTGTCCAAGGACATTATAGTGTTAGAGTTAGCAAGGCTTCAGTGCCAAGACAATTCTCAATTCCGTTTTACAGGTCCAATATAGGTAGGGAGCTGGCAGGACTCGAAGAGATTATATTATGATTGATTAGGATTGGAGCACACGCCTCATAGCTGTCACTCAATATCAGCTCAATATCAAATGCCCGATGCTATCTAGGAACCACCTGTGCGCACCTGTACCCCTCTGTAGTGGTTTGCTGCCTGGCGCTGTTCCCTTCAGTAATGCTCTATTAGTTATGACATGATTCCCAATGGCACTTCGACTGATGCTTATCCTGATGCATAATGATGGAGTGATCAGCCAGGCAGGACAGAGTCTGGACAGGCTCTGGACGGACTTTACAGGCAGCAGCGCCAGCTGCATCGCATCTTTCGCTTGCTGATCGCGACATTGACTTCTGATCAACGATTCTGAAAGCCAACGTAAATAACCAAGGGACTGTATAGCCCTATACAATATATTAACAATTACAATATGTTAACCGACTTTGTGGTAAACTTGGCCTTTGACTTTGAATGTGAAATTGAACTGTTGACCATTTGCAGCAGTATTTTTAGCTATTTCCGTTGCTCCAAACGATGCCATTTGAAAACAAGAATTGAATTTTCGCATTGACTGCAAGAACAGCAAAGAATCTGGATAAGGAAGCCGTGCAATGGTTCCGGCGCTGTTTCAATTTCTGGGAGTTTTTCTTTTCCTGAGGAGCACCACCCCGATCGGCTCATTTTTAAATTTAAGGGCATGGCAGAGCGGGTATTCTTTGTCCAATGTACCAATGACCACTTTGGAATGTGCTGTAAGTGCTCGATTTACTTGTTGACGTTGTCGGTCAATTCCTCTGCGGCTGTTGACTACGAATCTGCGCGCTTCTCTTCGTTCTAATTGTCTTTGCTGGCTTCGCTCATCTCGCGCCTATTTTATTTGTGATGCACTTAGCTGCGCCATGCTCACATGTGATTCAAATCAATACATGAACCATTTCTTCTTGCACTTCGAAGATTATTCCTCTGTTCATTGCAGTGTGGGCAATGTAATGAGAATGTATTTGTTAAATAACTTATTTTGCAGACATACATACCTACCTGAAGTTTCGAAATATTTTGCATAAAATAAATTTCTGAACGCATACATAAATAGTTGTTACAGTATTTGACAGGGTTGGACAACAAATGTTTGACATGTAATATACAAATGAGCGTTTATTGAAATGATTTAGTATAATGAATACACATTTCTGAACGCACGCGTAATATTTTTCAATCTTTAAAAAAAAACTCATAATAACAGTTTATTCATCTATTTTAAATAGTTCTATGAACGCATGGCTAAATGTCAATCATTACATACAGATTTTGACAAAAAAAAAATTTGACAGCTCCGAAATTAAAGAACTTTTAGGGAAAATAACGCATTTTTCAAGTATTCGTCAATTTTTCAGTATTTTAAAAATATATTCTGCTATTCGGGGCGGAGACTAATCCAACAAATCAAAAACCATGAAAATTGGTTCAGCAGATCTCGAGTTATAAGTGTTGTAATAAACCAGACTTTGTTTTATATATATAGATAGTTAATCACCGATTGATGCCAATTCAAGCTCGAATCTCACGTATCATCATCATTCTTCATTATCATCATCAGCATCAGCATCATCATCATCAACATCAACATCAATATCATCGTCATCAGCCACATCAGCACATACACATCCCGGTAATCAGAAGAACTCGTGTAATCCTTAATTCATGTACACCTACACCTGCACACACACACACACACAGAGCTTAGCCTACGCTGACCACCTACTTATCCCCTTTTACACGTGCATTGATTATATATCTCTCATTCGCTCTCTCTCTCTCTATCAGTCGCTGTGAGCAAATTTGTTGTGTGTTTGTTTGGGCTTCTGTATTTATTGTCTGAAATGACATTAAGTTAAGTTCTTCGTATGCTTAGCCCATAGCCAACCGTCCATGTAATTAATTACATTTGGCCTGGCTACACCTCCATGTATGTATGTACGTATGAATGTATGTATGTGTGTGTGAGTGTAGGTGTCTGAGTGCATGTGTGTGTGTGTATGTAAATATGTCTTATACACGTACATATTAGTATGGCATATTATTTGACGACGAAACCCAACCCAATCTAAATCTGTCAATCTCTCTCAGTCCCCCTACCCCCACACCCAAATCCTTCTCTCGCTCTCACTCTATCGATATGCCTGATTTACACAATTGGTGCTTGTCTGGTCTAGCACTTGATAATTGGCAGCCAGGCGACCATCGATCGATAACAATAAAATTGTTAAAAGCGCAAAATGCCGCAAAGTGTGTAATTTGTTAAAGCTGGGCGAAGCAGCAATACGGCCCAGGCTGTCCCGCTATCCCCTGCTATCCCCTGCCCTCACCGATGGCCAGGCTGCCCAGGCAACCCGTGCAACGCGTTCCAAATATCTCTATTTGAATTCATCAACGGCGTGTTTAAGCAGTTTGTCAGCGACACGTGGCAGAGCGACGACTGTGCCTTTCTAGTTCGTTGGCAACAGCAGGCGGTTAATTTGTTCCCTGCCCAACGGACCCGGTATATGCCGGGTATATGCCGGGGAGCTGACTACGACTGTGTGCCGATGACGTAAAGCCTCACGAGCAGCAGAAGCAGCAGCAGCCGCGTCATCATAACGGAGCAACTGAGCAACTGAGCAACTGAGCAACTGAGCAACCGAGCAACCCCCCAGCTATAAGAATTTCCAACTACCAGCGAGGTGTACTAAATAGAGATTTAGACGCCTGAGTACCGACTGCAAATGGTCACCCACTTCTTTATGACTTCGCCATATGAGAGTCAGCGCCAATCTTGGCATGGAACCACTCGATTCAGGTTCATGTGCATTTATCCATAATTTGTAGTTTGTAAATTGTTATGCACTGCGTATGCTTCTTAAATTTGTCCCTTGCGTACTGTCATTTATTATAATGTCAATCGAAACCCTTTTCCCTGCTCTACCGTACGACGTCGCATGCGCCCGATTCGCACGCTTCCTCTCCTCGTCTCAGAAATGAGGAGCTCCTGCGCACTTCAGCCTAACGCCGATTCCGTGAGAGCTAGTGGGCGTGTGATCAACCCAACACACTGAACCTTCACACGCTCATGCACACATGCATGCATGTATGCACCTATACATGTAAGACTGTGAGCTTGAATTTGCCTTCGACTACAAATAACAAGTAAGACTCTAGTCGAGACTGCTCGACTGGGTGATACCCTGGGCCCTCCAAGCTGACATTCTAATCTTGCATCCACACGCTCTGCTGACTGCGCAGCTAGCAGCGACTGCGCTCGGGCTGCGCTGCAGTGTGGGCAATATTATGAGAATTTACTTGTTGAATAATTTCTCTTGCAGACGGACTATCTTAATGAAACTTTCAGAACGTGATCATAATCTTCAAATGTATGCATATTCCGAGGCACAAGTCTTTAATTCTTGAAATACGTTTCTTACAAATTTGGGGCGAAGGGGCCGTGGTATCCAAAATCTGTAAATTACAAAATCTTCGTATTCATGAAATGTATATACACTTGCCTCCTTCTGACTGTTGATTGGAGTTCCAATTAGCATTGCTTAGCACTAGCGCGGGAGCCTGTAAGACTATATACATGTAAATATGTTCGCTTCGACCAGTGTCATACTCATACATATTTTCTGGGGTCTGCCACGTTCCTATCTGCCTTTCATACGTTGTAATAATACTCGATTCGCATTTTAGATTTACTGCTAAACGGAAAAATAATTATTATTTGAATCTACCTGATTAGAAATACATGGAACAACAAATTACTATTCAAAATAAGAACAAGGAAGAAAGCTCTAGTCCAGAAGGCTCTACTACGAGGTTATTCTTCGCACCTTTCTGCTTACACAAGAAACACACACACAAACTCACAGACACATATAGGCACGCACGCACGCATAAACACGCATGGGCTGCAGTGTGGGCATACTATGGGAATTTAATGCCATATTTAATAACTTTTCTTTTGGACTTTCTTTCAGATCGTGATTGGATATAGGGGTGGGAAGAATTTTTTAAACAAAAATCGAAATTGTGTAAGGTACATTTACAAGATGCCGACTATAGATCTAATGATGTGACGGATATAAATTTGTTACTGACTTTCGATAATGTTTTGTCGATAACAAAATAACGGAATGAGTTATCGATATTTGGAGATAAACTCTGCGTTATATATACGGACATTCTAAAAGAATGTTTAAGTCTCTAGCTCTTATATCTTCTGAGATCGACGCGTTCATACATACGGACAAACGGAAAGACGGACGGACGGACAGTCGGACAGGGATAAATCGGCTCAGCTTGTCACCCTGATCGACAATATATATATTTTATGGGGTCTGCCACGCCTCCTTCTGCCTGTTACATACATTTCAACAGAACCATTAAACCCTGATTTCGGATTTTCAATGCGCATATATAGGAATGACGGAAACAAAAAAACGCGACTTGTAAAAGTCAAAAGAGAAACAAAATTTGTGTTAAATAAATAATATAAATTCATAAAATGCGAGAGCATAAAATAATACAAAAAGCAATGCAAACTAATCGAAAAGCCAGGCAATAAATAAATCTATGTCGGGCGGTAGCTTTTGGTAAGCAAATATTACGAATCAGATTCAACACGCTCCTGATTCTTAATTTCCCGTGCACACGCACATAGTCCAACCAGCCACCCCCGGTGCAAAGAAACCAGTTAACGATGCATACATAACCAACGCGTCTAGAATTGGTGCCGCCCCAACGGACTAGCGGCAGGACGTCTGGCCTCTGTGATTGTGCGCAGTTATTTAAAATAATATTTCCGTATCCGGCAAGTAATACGCGACGCGTGCAGACCAACATCTGTAAGCAGCCAGACCTAAAGAGCAGGCTTTGAGTGAACCAGGCTATTCCAAATCCAACTCCAATTCCATTTATATGAGGGGTTCTCTCATCGCTGCTCGGAACTGCTCACTTACTTAACGAGAACAACTTCCAATCTAATACAGAATTTACATCGCGTTAATAGAGTTCATATTGCCTTGTCTCTCAAATCAATATCAAACGCTTAAGAAACCACAGTCTGGACTAGGCTGAAGAGCAGAATAGAAGCGCCACCAGTGCGTAGTGGTGGGCCAAGGGGGCGTGATATCCAAAATCTGTACTTGTCACGTAATTCTTTTCCTCACATTACATTTGATGTCTCTAGTTCCAACAGTATTTAAATTGTCGATAAAAAAGAAATGCTATGAGCAATCTAAAATATCTGATAAACTTGTACTGCGAATGGTATACACGAGTGTACATGTACATTCCGTTTTTAATACCCTGAACCCATTTTCAATGGGGAATCAGGGTATAATGGTTTTGTTGAAATGTATGTAACAGGCAGAAGGAGGCGTGGCAGACCCCACAAGTATATATATACTTGATCACGGTGACGAGCTGAGTTGATTTGGCCCTGTCCGTCTGTCTGTCCGTCTGTCCGTATGTATGAACGCGTCGATTTATATATACATATATAGAGCCATTACGCCTTCTCACAATACACAATAACAACAATTAAGAGAGTATATATTGTATAAAAAGTATATATATATATAATATATTTTGTTTACTTTAGGGGTAGGCGCGCCTCGGCTTAGCTGGTCTGAGCTCCGGTCACCCCTTAAGTAAGGCCCGTCCCTACATCTGCCTAATAAACCCTCGCGCAGTCCCATTGTGTGGAGGAGAGGTACTCGTACTTTCGGCTACTCGTATCTGTGTCTCTCTATCTATTCAGTATTGAGTATGCAGTGTAACTACTTTGACCTCTATTGTTGTATTAGTTATTATATGTTCGAGTTTTCTCTTCAATCACTCCGCACAGTCTGTCTGCGGTTTTTTGGTCTTTGTTGTATTTACCTAAGCTACATTTTGTTCAATCTCTTCCTTTCTCCTTTTCATCTCATTGTGCTGCATATACTTTTCTTTTTTCTATATTCTATTTTATATTCTCTATTCCCTATTTGTTTTTTTTTAATAAGCTCCTGACTGACGCTGACGTTACCATTGCGGCCAAGTCTGCGGCTTATTATTATCGTGGACCTAAGAAGGAACATCTTTTGATCCCAGATCTCAGATCACAAAAGCCAAGTGAGAGGGACCTAAGCTAGTTTCCAGAAATATGTACATAGGTGCTTCAAATAGTATTTATTAATTAAACTAAACAGTCCTCTTCTGCAAGATTTTGGATTTTTTTTTACCTAGAGGTATGTTTGGGGTTCGTGGTGTTCTTTTGTTCTTGTGTTCTTGTGTTGTTTTTCCCTTTGTCTGCCGAAGCAAAAATACAATGCTTAACGTAATGTAGACATTCTCTCTTCTCTATCCATCCCCTGTGTCTCTCCCTTCCTCTCTGACTGTTGGCACCTCTGGACCGTTTAGAGTTAGTTGTTGTTTGGTTTGTTGACAGCCGTAATCAATAGGCCAGCCTACCAAAAGTCGGAGTCCCCTTCCCCTGTCCGCATGCTTAAAACCCGTGCCACGATACCATTCCCTTTGTTCTTTCATTCACTTTCGCTGTCTTTTTCAACTCGTGCTTCTCGAATTGGAATTCGAATGCATTTCAAATATAATGATAGTCCTTCGATTAATCCATGATCTTGGAATTTATTTATGCAAACATGTTATATATTTAAATATTAATTATTTTATTGCGTTCTGTGTATGTGTTTCTTTTCTTATCCTAAACTCATTGAAAATGAGAAATCAGGTTATAATGGTTTTGTTAAAATGTATGTAACAGGCAGAAGGAGGAGTGGCAGACCCCATAAAATATATATATTCTTGTTCAGGGTGAGAAGCTGAGTTGATCTAGCCCTGTTCGCGTCGATCTCAGAAGGTATAAGAGCTAGAAACTTCAAATTTTGTTTAAAATGCCCTATAAATAGCGGGCTTATCGATTTCATAGCCAGAACTCATACGGTTATTTGGTTATCGATTAAAAACATTATCGAAAGGTAGTTATAAGATTATATATATCTCCTACATCTTTAAAACTAGATTATATATTCAGATAAATTTTATACAATTTTGATTTTCGTTATGTTTTGGATACCGGAATCCCCAGTGAAGGCTAATGCCAGTGTGGCTAATTGTGAAAGACTTGGTACTATTTTTATACCCTGAACCCATTTTCAATGGGAAATCAGGGTATAATGGTTTTGTTGAAATGTATGTAACAGGCAGAAGGAGGCGTGGCAGACCCCACAAAGTATATATATTCTTGATCAGGGCGACGTGCTGAGTTGTCCGACCAGCTGTCCGTCTGTCTGTCCGTCCGTCCGTACGTCTGTCCGTATGTTTGAACGCGTCGATTTCAGAAGATACAAGACCTAGAGACCTCAATCTTTTTGTAAAATGTCCGTGTATACCACGCGGATATCGAGCTTTGCTTTAAAAATCGATAACTCATCTCGATATTTTTATCGATAAAAACCTTATCGAAAATCAGTTATAAAATTATATCTCCTACAACTTTAAAGCTAAAGTCTCCAAATTTTTAATGTGGATTTATATGCAATTTATACAATTTTGGTTTTTGTTCAATTTTTAATTCACCCCCACCCCTATATCCACCCCTCACTCACATATTTGAAAAAGCGTATCTTAAAAACTAGCGACTTGTGCTTTGGCAAATACATGTATATCCGGGTTATGATCAAAAAAAGTTATTAAACAATTAAGTTCTCATAGTAAGCCCACACTGCAACCAATGCGTGTTTATGTGTGCGTGCGTATGCCTGTGTATTAAGGCGTGAGGTTTTGGGTTCGAGCCCGACTTTTAGAGCAAGGCGATATTGATATTTTTTGCAGTTCTTTGCGAAATTTACTAATTTATTAAATTTAAGTGCCAATATTTTAAAGATTTGTATTTTTACTAAATTGACAGACATGAAAAGACTAATCAAATTAATCGCTTAGAAAATGGACAACGCGTACGCAGCTTTCTTATGCATTCTTTTCCTATGGTATTTAAGAAATTATAATTGCTTAACTACTTAACTCTACTTAACTACTGTGTAAGCAAATACAGTAGAATCCGGTTATAGCGACGCTCAAGGGACCGACGACTTTACGTCTCTATACCCGGAGGACGCTTAACCCAGAAGAAGCAAGAAAAAATTGTTAAATTTTCAAATCAAAATAAACAAATTTTGTACATTGAATTTAATAATATGGTATAGAAACATTTGAATGACGTCGGCATTGCAGTTTGCCTCTCTCTCTATCTTAGCAGCATTTGTGTCGCTGCTACGCACCCAAGCAAGGGTACTGATCACTGATAAGTAAATGCATATGTATATACATTTCTAAAAAGTCTCTTTATGCATAAAACTTTTTTTTATTATTTTGCTGTATTTTTTCTTCGGCGCATCGTAATAGCCAGTGAATGACTGAAATTATCAAAAATATCGTCGGTTTGTCGTCAAGCAGAAAGGCTCTAGGAATTATTGAAATACCAGTTGCTCAAAGGTTTCAGGGCACCTCGTAGTCGAACCGTTTCGACTAGAGCTTTATTACTTGTTGATGCTAAAGATACGAAATTCGTAATACATACTGGGGTTCAACCCAGGACCAATCACAATTAGACAGCTAAGTTAGTAGAGGCCTCCTCTAACGATGATTCAAAGATACCTCTTACTCATTTTGTTTTAGGTGTAACACATTAAAAATACCCTGCAATTTGCACAATTTTTCAGCGTATTTCAAAATTTCGAATTTTCATCTCATTAATAACTCTTCTTGTGGATGTACCTTCTATCCATAAGAAAAGTTATTAAACAATTAAATTCTCATAGTAAGTGCACACTGCAGTGTGGGTGTGTGCGAGTGTTGTGTATGCGTGTGTGTGTTTGTGTGTGTTTTTTTTTTTTTTTTTTTTTTATATTCATTTATTGACAAAATAAAAAAATTGCAAGTTGTGTGGTGGCTAGGATAGCGCGCGGTGCTTGCGGGACGGCCGTAAAGCATTGCTTCGCAAGCACTATGCGCTACCTTAGCCTGGGACAGCTCGTCTTCTCAGTCGCTCGACTCTGCGGAGCTCCATAATCACTGTGGCCGCGAAGGTGCTTGTTAGTTCCCAAGCTTCCTCCGATTCCAGCATGGCGTTGACTAAGTTGTCCGCTCTGATGGAGCGGCCCACTGCCTCTTCCAGACGACGCCTCTCCTCCAGGAACCGTCCACATTCGAAAAGAATGTGGTTGGCGTCTTCCACATGTCCTCGCTCGCACCAGGGGCACTCGTCAGATTCCTCGTGGCCAAAGCGCTTCAAATAGCTCCGAAAGCATCCATGACCCGAGAGGATCTGCGTAAGGTAGAAGTTAACCTCGCCATGTTTGCGGTTAACCCATGGTTCAAGCTCCGGGATGAGCTTGTGCGTCCACCGCCCTTTAGCTGAGCTATTCCACCTTCTTTGCCATCGTGCGATGCTGTTCGCCCTGACAGCGTTGAGTCGCGTAGGCCCGTGCGTGTGTGTGTGTGTGTGTGTGTGTGTTGTGTATGCGTGTGTGTGTGTGTGTGTGTGTGTGTGTGTCTGCGTGTGTCTTGTGTAAGAAAAAAGACGCGAAAAATGATTGAAATAGCTATTGCTCTCCGAGCAGGTTCAGGGAATCTCGTAGTCGAGCAGTCTCGACTAGAGCTTTCTTACTTGTTATTTACTAGTTTTAGAGCTAGAAACTCCACTAATCCCGACTAATTTGCTGACAGTATCCTCCTATGATTTGCACAAACAATCAACATATGTATGTATAGCATTTGGGCAAATCGGGAAATAGGTTGTGAATCAGTATTCTGCAGTCGGTAACGCCCAACTGCAACGTTCTTACTTTTTTGTAATGGATACAGGCTGTATATATTATACATTAGCGGGATATACTATAAATATTACGTAGCTCAACTTATAGTAAGAACAACTGAAATTTAAGAATATTATACATATTACATTGTGAGTCTATTAGTCTATTGGAAATACCCACTACAATTACACCTGACAAGAATGTAATATAATACAAATTAACATTATTCACACATTTCACAAAAACCAAAAAAAAAAAAAAAAAAACTGAAATATAGCAAAAAATTCTGATTCGTCACCTTTAGAAAATGGTCCATGAAATTTCTACCACATTTTAAGGACCAGGCCAGGAATTTCGCTTTGAAGAAGGCAACGGCATTCCTTTTGTGTGTGCGAGGGTGTGCGCGCGAGTTTCTCAGTCTGTATGTATGTGTGTGTGAGTGTGTTGATGCGTGTGACTTCAAAAATCCCAAAAACGTGTCGGCCAGCATGTTGAAATTGACGTTCCTCTTCAACCATCCATCCATCGTGTAGTCCCCAGTCGCGTAGTTCGCAGTCGAAATCCGGTATGAAAAAAGGAGTATGGGCATTACGAGTGCTTCGTAAGCTAAGGCACAAGTTCCGTTAAGGAAATGAGGTTTGAGTTGCGATTTGGGATGCTTACGCAATTGAGGGTGGAAACGGCTTATGATATGGCACAATTTTTAGCATTGTATAGACCGTTCGATTTGCTGTTGCTGATGATGCTGTTGTTTTTGTTATTATTGTAACTGTTCTGTGTTGCTGTTGCTGTTGTTGCTTTAATTATTATTCTTCTTGCTGTGCGACAAAGCGACGCCTTTATGTAAGTGAAATGCAGTCTTATTTAGCATTTTATTATATAACGATAGCAGTAATTTAAACTATCCAAATAACAAAATCTGTCTGAATATATAGAAAAATTTGACAACACTAGAATGGCGCATACAAAAACTTAACAATTACTACTTTAAAAAAATAAAATTAAACTTATAAAATTTTGAAATTAAATTTAAACCGAATTTAAATCAATAATAAAAAAAGTCAATAAATATGCTAGCAATTACTAAATCCAAAATAAGGAATTTCAACTTAATCAAAATTAAACAAGTAAGAAAGCTGTAGTCGAGACTGTCCGACTACGAGATCCCCTGATCACACATGCACACACGCACGCATAAACACGCAGTGGCTGAAGTGTGGGCCTACTATGGGAACTTAATTATTTAATAACTTTCCCTTTCGATAGACTATCTTCATGAGATTTTAAGATCGTGATTATAATATGGAAATACATGCATTTGCCATGAGATACGCCTTTTACAAATTTATGGGCGAAGGAGTTTATATAGTGGGGGGTATAATAAAAGTCGAAATTCTTTAAAGTACTTATAAACTAACATTTAAAATTTGTCGATTCTAGCTCCAAAGATATAGAAGATAAAATTTTAGAACCGATTTTTAATACGGGTTTAAATCGATAAAAATAAGGGAATAAGTTATCGATTTCTCGAGATAAAGTCAATATCCACTCTATATATCCAAGTCTAAGCCTCTTATATCTGAGATCGGACATACGAACAGACGGACGGACAGGGCTAAATCGACTTTAGCTAGTCGCCCTGATTTGCCACGCCTCCTTCTGACTGTTACATACATTTCAACAAAGCCATTATAACCTAATTTCCCATTTTCAATGGGTTCAGGGTATACAAAACCAAATGAAATAAGAAATACAAACGAAAAATTAAAATGCAAGCAAAAATTTAAAATATGAATACAGAAATACACTAATAGAACATAATTTAAATGGTCATAGACAAACACACAAAAATTATAAAAGTGCTTAGCAATTTTATGGTAATCTTTGGATTTAACAACTCAGTTGAGTGACAATATTCGATCATACCCATGCATAAATTAGTTGCTTTACTCACAATAATTCATATATTTTTTGCAATAGTACTTTCACGTTATAACAACGCTGATCTGGCTAACTTAATTGTGTATGCACATCTTCAGTTGGCTTTTCCTGTTATTGATGTCATTAATGTCTACATAGAGACTGTTCATATAAGTTGTACAACTAAACAAATGAAAAAATACACACATATATAAATATATATATAAATATGTATATATATAAATAAATATGCATATATAAATATGTATATGTATTCTATTCTAATATCGGGTATTTTGCTTACTTACAAATACATACAAGTAAACATGCCTACATACATCATTAGCGTATATGTATGTATGTATGATGGCAAAAGGAATCCTCCGTTGTGCTTTATTTGCGTTTGTATATATATATATATATATATATATATATATATATATATATATATATATATATATATATATATATATATATATATATATATATATATATATATATGTATGTATATATATATATATTAATAAGAGTTCTGCGCTTTTTTTTCATGGCTGCGTAGCCTGCGATGATTCTGGGTCCTCTTCTACACACACACACACAAAGAGAGTGTATTGTCATCTCTCTCATGCTTAGAGCGTGTAACTATCGTCGTTTCGCGCAACGTCGGCACGAGCTGAAAGAGTGCTATCCCGCTCTTACTTGGTCTCGCATGCACTCAAAATGGCCGCCTTGTCGCCTTTTCTGCTCGCCTCTGATATACGGGCCTGCTGCCCTCCTCAGTGTCTGGGCAGGTTCGGTCTTTCGCTTGAGAGCTCATTATCGTTTCGCTTGGCTAACCAGTTAGTCGTACGCAAGTTTGTTCACTGCACACTGCACACCGCCGCCGCAGTTTGATTATTTTGAATTTTGAAACTAACAAATTGTAAGGCGAAGTGTCGGGAACGCATTCCGTGGCGTTGCCGCCGGGTCGCTGGACTGCCCATTGGCAGATCGCAGATCGACAACGATGTCTAACTGCTTAACGGTAAAAGAAATCGAAACCGAAACAGAAACAAAAATCGAAATCAATATCAGTAGAAAATAAATCTAATGCAGACAATAAGTAGAAGAAAACACCCACACACACACAAAATTAAACATAATACGGAATAAAAACTAAACTTCAGAAAAATTATAACAAACCCGCCGACAAATCGAAATACAACTGTAACGTAGTGAAAATGTAATATAGATAAAAGAGTGAAGTATATGAGTGAAATATGTGTGTGTGTTTAGAAGCACAAAATTCGACAACGATATTAATGTACCAGGTTCGAAGTCAGTGAATTATATATTACATGTGTACAGACACATACACATACATATACAAATTCATATGTACATACATTTATATGTTATATATAAATAGTCAAGTGCGCTCAGTGCTTTCTCCGCAATCAGTTTTTATTCATCAATAATGCATATGCCATTCAATCCCACATAAATCGGTGCAACGGAAATCTTACAAAGCCTTGCAATCCCTTGCGCTTGGTTACTACATAAATTAACTGTAAATAATAATTATAATGATGCTGACTACGGAACATATTATGCACGGACATCATCCGCATTCATCGGTCGGCGTCGGTGTGGGTCAAAGTGCACTATTTGGCTGCTCGACAGCTGGTCACAGCGGTATCAATCAGCTGGGCGGCGTCTACGTCAATGGCAGACCCTTGCCCGATTCCACGCGCCAAAAAATTGTCGAGCTGGCTCATTCCGGTGCACGTCCATGTGATATATCTCGAATACTCCAAGTATCCAACGGATGCGTTAGCAAAATTTTGGGCAGGTGAGAGACTCGCACAGCAGCGAATCAATTTTAAGCAGATCATGTCCCAATTAGTCATTAGCTCTAGGCCCCAATTAGCATTCAGCACTCTCTTTGGGTCCACACACAAATAAAAATCTGATACTCACTGCGCGTCATGCATGGCTGTTCTTATATCTCCTATGCCGCCTAACTTCATTTTACATCCAATAGTTTTCTATTAAAAAGTAAAACATAGGTTCTACATAAGGCTGGATTCTTATGATATTATTTTGGAAACAAGACTCTTTCAGTTGGGCTTAATCGACTCGCAAATACCCCGAAACCCTGCGGCGGTCCTCTTCGTCTTGTTGTCTTTTGATAGGCTGTGCCAATGCGGCATAAGTATGTCCTGAAAGAAGTTTAAGAGGTCTTTCATACCATATATGTTTATTCGTGATTAAGAAGGCAGATGACCTGAACCGATTTTGCCATGTCTATTGATTTCTCCATCGTCCCAATGCTTGAGCTCGTTTTTGGTAGGCTCGTGTTATTACGCTCAGATTGAGATTGTTTCCAAAATCGATAACTGCTCCCGTTTTTTGGTATCGATTAATCCCCTTATCAATCGTTATGAGTTATAAAATTATATCTCCTACATCTTTAGAGCTAGAGTCTGCACACATTTTAAGGTTATTACGGCTGAAAGTTTTATGAAATGGACCATCCACAAGAAAAGTTATTTAGCCATTAAATGTCCATCGCAAGCCCACACTGCAGCCCATGCGCATGCGTGAGCACCTGTTTTGCCTCTTATGTAAGCAGAAATTGAGCGAAAAATTAATAATTAAAAATTATTAATCGACTAGAGCTTCCTTGCTTGTTTTATTTTCTATGCTTTTCAGATACAAGAATAAATTGTCAATATAAAATGTATGTTTAAAACAACAAGTAAGAAGGCTCCAGTCGAGACTGCTCGACTGGGAGATGCCCCGAACCCTCCAAGCTGATATTCTACTCATTCTGCACACATGCATACACACGTATATCACACGCTCTGCTGACTGCGCAGCTAGCAGCGACTGCGCTTAGGCTGCGCTGCAGTGTGGGCAATATTATGCGAATTTACTAGTTGAATAATTTCTCTTGTAGTAAGACTATCTTAATGAAACTTCCTGAGCGTGATCATATGTCTAAAATGTTTGTACATTCCAAAGCACAAGTCTCTAGTACTTGAAATACGTTTATTACGAATTCCAAAATCTGTAAATTACAAAATCTTTGTATCCATTAACTTTATATACAACGCAAATTTGGAGTCTCCAGGTCTAAAGTGTTCAAATTAGGTTGAAAAAACAAAGTCGATTTTTCGATTATTCTCGATAAAAAGTTATCGGACGAGTTATCGAAAAATATGATAAACTTGTACTGCCTATGGTATACACGAGTATGCATGCCAAATTTCAGTTCTCTATCTCTTATATCTTCTGAGATCCTTTTGCTCATACGGATGGACAGACGGACAGGGCTATATCGACTCAGCTCGTCGTGCTGATCAAGAATATATATAGAGTTAAGTCTGAGTCTCCACAAAACAAAGCGAATCCCCTCCACGGCGCATGCCTTCTTTTGTCCCAATCCGAAGTGTCAAATCCGATTTTTAGTTAACTGACAACTCGAATACAATTCAATCGCACTCGTGATTCTATTAATAAAGAGCATGTGCGTAGACCATTAAGCCAGCACTTACGGTGCTTTACGCGTACCCCAGTTTTCCTTGTCAACTTCTGTCTTACTTTAGTGATTTCATATTAGGTAATAGAACCTTCGTAATTTTTTAGCCGTTGGTTTACAATTTTTTGTCATCCAAATGTATCTAAAAAGTGTTGAAAGAGAAGAACCAATAATACCAATAATAGAGTCTATGTATATGTATGAAATGCTGGAATATGATGATAATAACATGTAATAATAACTCTCTTTCTCCCTGGGCCATTCCAATTACAGATATTATGAAACGGGATCAATTAAACCTCGAGCTATAGGCGGGTCAAAGCCCCGAGTAGCCACAACTCCCGTCGTACAAAAGATTGCAGATTACAAAAGGGAATGTCCAAGTATATTTGCATGGGAAATTCGGGACCGGCTACTCTCGGAGCAAGTATGCAATAGTGATAATATTCCAAGCGTAAGTAGATTTATGCATATACTGTATATAAATAGCTTTATAAACATCGCCCTGTCCGTCTGATATACAATTACATATACCTTCCACATCTTTTATTCATTCATTACAGGTAAATCAGCTACATTTTTATACCCTGAACCCATTGAAAATGGGAGATCAGGGTAAAATGGTTTTGTGAAAAGTATGTAACAGGCAGAAGGAATCATCGCAGACCCCATAAAGTATATATATTATTGATCAGGATGACGAGCTGAGTCGATATAGCCCTGTCCGTCTGTCTGTATGAGCAAAAGGATATCAGAAGATATAAGAGCTAGAGAGCTGAAATTTGGCATGCATACTCGTGTATACCATAGGCAGTACAAGTTTATCATATTTTTTCGATAACTCGCCCGATAACTTTTTTATCGAGAATAATCGAAAAATCGACATTGTTTTTTTTCAGCCTAATTTGAACACTTTTAGACCTGGAGACTTCAAATTTGCGTTGTATATAAAGTTAATCGATACAAAGATTTTGTATTTCTGAATACAATGATTTCGTAATTTACAGATTTTTGACCACGCCCCTTCGCCACAAATTTGTAAAAAAAAAACATTTTAAGTACTAGAGACTTGTGCTTTGGAATGTCCGCATTTTTAGACCCTGAACCCATTTTCAATGGGAAATCAGGGTATAATGGTTTTGTTGAAATGTATGTTACAAAAGGAGGCGTGGCAGACCCCTCAAAGTATATATATTCTTGATCATGGCGACGAGCTGAGTTGATTTGGCCCTGTCCGTCTGTCCGTATGTTTGAACGCGTCGATTTCCGAAGATATAAGAGCTAGAGACTTCATTTTTTTTTTTAAATGACCGTACATATATACAGCGCGGATGTCGAGTTTGCCTTTAAAATTCGATAAATCATCCCGTTATGTTTTTATCGAATAAAAACATTCAAGTTCAAGTCAGATGCCAGTATAGCTAATTGTGAATGATTTTTAATTTTTAAAATTTCTCAAATATTCAATATAATAATTGTGAATGATTTTTCATTTTTTAAATTTCTCAAATATTCAATATAATATGTAGATCAAAAATTAATTAAAAATAATCGAATATTCGGCCAATTAACAAACGCACGTGCAGCAGCTACAACAGTATCGTATACGTGTGCACACATGCATTCAAACTTCTTCTAGAAAATTCTTAGAATCACATCAGCAGTTAGTTTGGTTTAGTTTTGCTCGATGGCGTTGCAGCAGTGAATCTATTTGAGTTTTGCCAGCGCAGCTTCCAAATGTGAGGTGGCGTAGTGTGTTAGCGGCATGACGCTCGATCGAGAAGTCGCGGTTCGAATCCCGAGCGGTGCAACTTATGTTAATTTTTTTAATTGGTTCAAAATAATTTTATACTTTATTAAGTGAGTTTGTATTTCATTCATATTTTTAGATACATCGAAATTGAAATTGTAGCCATACTAAATGGGCATTTTTATTAGTTTGGTTCAGGGTAGTATCTAGTCTACTTGTCACCTTATGATTACGTTCTGAAAGTTTGATCAGAATTTGAAATAAGTAACTTCTCATACTATTTCCCAGACTGCAGCCCAAGCGCAGTCGCTGCTTTCTGTGCAGTTAGCAGAGCGCGTAGTAAAAACAAGTAAGAAGGCTCCAGTCGAGACTGCTCGACTAGGAGATACCCTAAACCCTACAAGCTCATATTCTAATCATTCTGCACTTCTTTTATGCACACATACATACACATGCACTTATAAGCACGCGCTCTGCTAATTGCGCAGTAAGCAGCGACTGCGCTTGGGCTGCGCTGCAGTGTGGGCAATATTATGAGAATTTATTTGTTGAATAATTTCTTTTGTAGACATACAATCTTAATGAAACTTCCAGAGCGTAATCATATGGTTACAATGTGTGTACATTCCAAAGCACAAGTCTCTAGTACTTGAAATGCGTTTTGCAAATTGTGGGCGAAGGGGGCGTGGTATCTAAAATCTGTAAATTACAAAATCTTTGTGTCCATTAACTCTATATACAACGCATATTTGAAGTCTCCAGGCTTAAAAGTGTTCAAACTAGTTATCGGATGAATTATCGAAAAAATAAAGCAAACTCGTACTGCCTATGGTATATACGAGTATGCATGCCAAATTTCAGCTCTCTAGCTCTTATATCTTCTGAGATCCGTTTGCTCATACGGACGGACGGACGAACGGACAGACGGACAGGGCTATATCGACTCAGCTCGTCGTTCTGATCAAGAATATATATATACTTTATGGGGTCTGCGATGATTCCTTCTTCCTGTTACATACTTTTCACTAAACCATTATACCCTGATTTCCCATTTTCAATGGTTTCAGGGTATAACAAGTAAGAAAGCTCTATTCGAGACTGCTCGACTACGAGATCCCCTGAACCCTTGGAGTAATAGCTATTTCAATAATTTTTCGCGTCTTTCAGCTTACACAAGAAACACGCACACACACACACACACACACACACACGCATGCACACAGGCATACATACACACACATACATACATACACACACACACACATACACACACACACACACACACACACACACATACACAAACAATTACATACATATACACACACAAGCATAAACACGCATGGGCTGCAGTGTGCGCTTACTATGAGAACTTAATTGTTTAATAACTTTTTTTATGGACGTACGATCTTCATGAAACTTTTAGATTATGATTATAACATGAATATGCATGTAATTGCCAAAGCACAAGTCTCTAGTATTTGAAATACGCTTTTTACAAAAGTGAGGGTGAGGGGGTGAATTTAGAGGTGGGGGGTAAATTTTAACAAAAACCGAAATTGTATAAATTGCATATAAGCATACATTAAAAATTTGGAGACTCTAGCAATAAAGGTGTAGAAGATATAATTTTATAACTGGGTTTCGATAAGGTTTTTTATCGATAAAAAAAGATCGAGATGAGTTATCGATTTTTAATGATAAACTTGATATGCGCGCTGTAATTACGGACATTTTAAAAAAAAATTGAAGTCTCTAGCTCTTATATCTTCTGAAATCGACGCGTTCATACATACGGACAGACGGACAGACGGACAGACGGACAGACGGACAGACAGACGGACAGGGCCAAATCAACTCAGCTCGTCACCCTGATCAAGAATATATATACTTTGTGGGGTCTGCCACGCCTCCTTCTCCCTGTTACATACATTTCAACAAAACCATTATACCCTGATTTCCCATTTAAAATGGGTTCAGGGTATAAAAAGTGCAGAATATGAGCTTGCAGGGTTTAGGGTATCTTTTAGTCGAGCGATCACGACTAGAGCACCATTTCTTTTTTTTTTTTTTTTTTGTTTTAGCCTTTTCTCTTTTATTTCCTATTTCCTTAATACAATTCCCAACCTTGCCAACACCAAACAATAGATTGTAACAATTGAGGATACTAATCCCAATACCAAATTTTGTTGACCCAAATAGGGCGGATCCATTATCCAAGAAAAGTAGATGGGCCAAGAGATAAAGACAGAGAGAGGTAGAAAAAGGAGCGAGGGTCGGACCACAGTGCGTGCCACGTAGATTGAAGAGCAGAGCCGGGCTGCACAATGGATTAGAGTAATTTCAAAACAATAACTGCGCAAAGTTTTTAAAATGGATTAAGAATTAGGCCAGATCTACTTTTCCTCAACCAAATAAACAAAAGTCTCGGCCGCAGATTAAACTGAGAATAACACAAAATAGATATGCAGAACATATCAGAGTCTATATATATCATATCGTCGCATTCCCGCGAAACGATAGTATGTTGATTTTTTGGGAAATTGATATTTTAATGCAGAACGGTTAGAAAACGTCTGTCTCACATACTTGCAAAAAGTAACAAGTAAGAAAGCTCTAGTCGAGACTGCTCAACTACGAAATCCCCTGAGTCTTCTTCGAGTCTTTCTGCTTACACAAAAAACACACACACACTCAGAAAATTACAACAACAATTAAAATTTGGAAGCTCTAGCTTAAAAGGTGTAGGAGACGGACGGACAGATGGACAAACGGACGGACAGCAAGACGGACATTGCACAAAACCAATATACAAATTCGTTTTGGTGAATGAGTATAACAAGTAAGAAACCTCTAGTCGAGACTACCCGACTACATCTCTTGAATCCTTCGCACATGCACACACACACAGACATACGCACGCACGCATTGGTTGCAGTGGTGGCTTACTTTGAGAACTTAATTGTTTAATAACTTTTCTCGTGGATGGACTATATTCATTATAGATTATATACATATATAGATATGCATGTATATTCCAAAGCACAAGTCTCTACCATTTACCATGGCTTTTACAAATATGTGGGTGAGGGGTGAAGATAGAGGTGGGGGCTAAATTTTGACAAAAATCGAAATTCTATAAAGTACATATAAATCTATATTTAAAATGCGGCGACTCTAGCTTTAAAGATGTAGCAGATATAAATTTGTTACTGATTTATAACAAAATAACGGGGAAAGCTATCGAATTACATGTGAATTCGGACCTAGGACCTAGGAAGTCTCTAGCTCTTATATCTTCTGAGATTGACGCGTTCAAACATACGGACAGACGGACCGGGCCAAATCGACTCAGTTCGTCGCCCTGATCAAGAATATATATACTTTGTTGGGTCTGTCACGCCGCCTACTGCCTGTTACATACTTTTCACAAAACCATTAAACCCTGATTTCAATGGTTTCAGGGTATAACAAGTAAGAAGGCTCCAGTCGAGACTGCTCGACTTGGAGATAGATACTCTGAACCCTCGAAGCTGATATTCCAATCATTCTGCACAAATTTTAAATAAAGATTTATATGGACTTTATAGAATTTCGATTTTTGTCGAAATTCACTAGAGACTTGTGTTTTTTGCTAATACATGCATATCTTTTCTATATTCATAATTTACAAGTTTCATGAAATAAGTACATCCACAAGAAAAGTT